GGGGGCGTGGCCACGCAAGCGCACGGGCGCCGGCGCGCCGTTGCGAACCTGGGGTCGTGGCGTCCTCAGGCGGAGGGGGCTCGTGGCTTCCTCTGGCAGCGCGGAGCTGGAGGTGACAGAATTCCCTGAGCAGACGCTGGCGGCATGAGTGGCTGCGCGCTCTTCCTGCGCCGGGCGGCGACGGCGGCGCGAGCCTGCCGGGTTCTGGTGGCCCTCAGTGCGAGTCGGCGCCCGCTAAGTACCAGTCCGCAGAGCCGGGCCTTCGCCAAGGAGCTCTTCCTGGGCAAAATCAAGAAGGTAAGGGAGCCCGGGCGGCCTCTGCCTGCTTGGCGGCTGGCTCCGGCAGCGCCCCGCACCTGCCCGACGGGCACCCCCGGGGGACGGCGCCCAGACTCCAGGTCCCCGAGGCCCGGGGGCCCGCGCAGGCGGGAGGGCAGGGCCTTGCGGAACCTCCAGCCGCCTCTGGGCTCCCAGGCTCCATTCCGCGGCTCAGCCCCGGCGCTCCCCCCGGGGCCCTGGGCTTCGCCCACGAGGTGCCTGTCCCACGCCGTCCCTGTCCGGGATCCCAGAGCCGCAGCTGGGTCAGGGAGCCCCAGGTTTTTGTTTTTTTTTCTTTTTTCCACCTTTTTCTGCGGCTTTAAAGTCAAGTCCTTTGCCCGCCCCCCCCTCCAGCTGGAGCGGGCAGTGTGCATGAGCCCCCGGGAGACGGGAAATGCCGAGTCCCCTGCTCTCTGCGACACTGAAGGGACACGGCTGAGCCCCCGGCTGTGATCCCACAGGGTGAGCGAGCACGAGGGTCACGAGGTGCAAGCCAGCCTCAGCAGCTCGGCGAGACCTTGTCGCTAAATAAAACACTCAAAAAAGGACTGGGGATGGGGACTCAGGTGTCAGGGTCCCCCCACCCCCACCCCGGGCTCAGTCCGCACGACCCAAAAGGGGGAAAAAAAAAAGAAAGAAAAAGTGGTGACTTCAAGGCGAATTACTTTTGCTCCCTTGGACTGATGACTTCACTTCTCTGTCCCTTGGCGCTTTGCAAAGTCGGCGTGGCCACAGGGGTCACCCCCTAACTTCTTTGGGCTTCGTCAGAATGTGATCTGATCCCGTGCCCCGCAAAAATGTTATTCCCTGGCTTTGGATCGTTCTGCCCCAGGTTGTCAGGACCAACCCTTAGGTAGATGGCATTACAGAGGCAGAAGGTGGCACTGGGACCAGGAGTGACCCCTCCTGCTAGGGCAGAGCTAGCAGCTTTAAAATGTGGGGGAACCATCTTCCCCCAAACCTGGGTGTGTGGGTGCTTTGTCCTGGGGCTGTCTGACTCCCTGTTGTGCAATGAAGAAAAACTGGAATCTCTTAGTCCTCTTTCAGTCACTAAGCCACTGGCACCTTGTCCCCACCCCCACTTCATATCCGGGGTGCTTCCCAGAGAGGAGCAGACACATTGGAGGACACACTGACACAGAACAGTAGCCAGAGGAGAACTTTGACCCCTGCAGGTCACCCACCCGCCCGTCATGTGTGCCCACTACTCCTGACAAGGGCCACTTCAGTCATTGGACACCAGCCTTCTCATCCACTCAAGGCCATTTATTTCCTTTCTCTTCCATATCGATTATTTTCTCTATTGAACCATTCAAGCTTTGTCCCTGACATCAAAGTCAGCAGTGACCTCCATGATGTCACATCTAAGGATCTATTCTCAGTCCTCCTCCTCCTAAGCCCACCCTGACACAGTTCAGTGCTCTGTCTCCTTGGCTGCACTCCATCCATCTACCTTCTGGAAACCACTCTCTCCCAGTGTCCTGTGCTGGTTTCTTCTTGGCTCCTTCACCTCTACACGATCGCCCATGGTTCCCACCAGCCTGATTGCAGTTGGGATTTTCTAAGGTGCAGCATAGGAACGTCTCTTTGCATCTATAATTACCCTCTTGATGGCCTAGCTTAGTGTCCTGGCTTTAAATGCCATCTATGCCCTCATGACTCAAACTTGCTTCTCCAGCCTGTATTTCTTTCCTCGATTCTAGACTTTTTTTTGTCTACCTTTCTGCTCAGAAGCTCCATTTCGGGGCTGTAATGGGTGTCTGTAATTAGCATATCCGCTGGGGTTTATTTATTTAGGTTTTGCCATCAGGAATTGAACTTACTCGGTGCTTACTCACGGAGCCCCATCCCCAGCCCCTTTTTATATTTTCTTTAGAAATAGGGTTTCACTGAGTTGCTTAGGGCCTCACTAAGTGGCTGAGGCTGGCCTCCACCTTGCGATCCTCCTGCCTCAGCCTCCTGAGCTGCTGGGATGACATGCATGCGCCACCACATTGGGCTGTATCTGGGAATTTATTCCTGGTCCCCATCTAGTCCTGCACCTCCCACTAGCCTAATTTTTCCACAGCTAATAGAAAGGCTTTGCCAGTCTCCTGGCATCACCTTTGATTCCTTTTATTCTCAGAGTTCACGAGTTTTCTGTACCTTCGGGTCCTCTTTAAACCCGACCAGAGTTAGGTACCTTCCCTTCATCGACCCTGAAATAGGTTGCCACCATCTGCACAGCATTCTGGGTCTTGAGCAGGTCTGTGGCACCACTTAAACCCTCAGAATAAGGACAGATCTTCCAGACCCTCAATCCAGGGATTAGCACACTGCCCTCAGTGTCCCGCTGTCCTTGGGTGGACCACTGGGATAAATGGGAGGTCACCTGCCATGGGCAACCTTGGTTTCCTGAGTCTTAACACGTTTGGCTTCTGTCTTAGGTGGCTGACGGGCAGGGCTTGCTGCTCTCTAAACTTGCAAACTCCCTGTGGGATGCGCCCCATTCCCTTCTGGTCTGATGATGTCACTGTTTGCTCTTTCCCACCCCGAGACCTCCCTCCTGCAGCAGTGATCCTTTGCTGGTGGCTTTCAGGTGCCAGCCTACCTTTTGTCCTCATCCCGAATCGATACCCCTCAGGATGCACAAGGCCCAGACAACCAGGGAGGCCGTGAACACAAATATGACCAGGGCAGTTTTGGCCTCTGTGTCCTTGTGGAAAGGGACAGCTTTGTGCTAAGGCTGCCCAGTGAGAGTCACCTGTGTGTTTCCTCTCTAGACCCCTGGATGACAGTGTCATGAGGGGAGATCAGGGGTTCCCACCAGTCAGCTGTCACTTTGGTTAGGGCCAAAACCCTGCAGTCCTGGGGCCAGAGAGGGGCAGACAGATTGGAGGACACACTGACACAGTTCAGTCAGGTGACTGATTCGAGGTGCAGGGTCCAGGGAGGTGGAGGACTCGTCTGAAGTACTTCCTGGGTCACCAGGTGACCCAGGAGGTGACCTGGGTCCCAAGAGGAAAGGCAGAGCTCCTGGCCCTGACTTATGATAGGTTCCTCTTATTCTCATCCTTCACGTGTTTTCTGTCCCTTCTGGTGATCCATCCATGCTAGGCCGCTGTGTGTCCAAAGCCACATCCTCATGTCATGGGAACAGCCAAAGCGGGGACTGGAACCCGGAAGGCCCATGGTGCAGGCCACTGCCAGATGAATTCAAAAGCCAGCAGGGCGTCCTGGCCTCATTGGCCATTCACGATGACAAATCAGAGCCTGGAAGCTAAGTCACTCTGTGGGCCACAGCTGTGGACAGGAGCAGAGCCAGTATCAGACACTGAGATTTAGTTCCTGCATCTTGCAGCACACATGACCTGTTTTGAAGGTCCCAGGTGCTTTTGAAATGATCAGGATCATGTGGGATTAAAGTGAAATTGGCTCAGAGAGAGGCCTTGGAGTGGCCCAGTCCCCATATCTAAGGAGCAGCCATGCCCAGGCTGAGTTCACTTTGATGATCAGGATCATGTGGGATTAAAGTGAAATTGGCTCAGAG